AGTAGTTTTCTTTTATCTCAGATTGCTTCTCAATTTTATTTTATAAACAAATGTAAGGGTGACAAATTGCTGCCGAGCAATTATGAGAAAGTTAAAATAGGTTATTATTATTTACTCAGTGATTTACAATCATCCAATGATTTCCCCCTCCAAATTAGGCCATCTCTTTTCACATTTGGAGAAAAATCGTTTCCTAAGAAATAACCCTTGAGTCTTGGTTATACAGAATTACAGAGTCTAGACAGAAAGGTTTTGCTTTCTTTTGTTCAGTTTTTATACCATTAGTAACAGTAATAGTATCATACATTTGTGTTCAGTGTTGCAGCCAAGTATTTTAACAAATGTTGCAACAAGCCTGTGGTATCTCCGCTTCCCAGGGAGCTAGACCGAAATCCCAGAACTAATCATTGGCAAAATTGAATGTTGAACTTGATTCTTCCAAGCTGACTTGAGTGTTCATTTTACTATATTTTGTCTGTAACAGTTTCCTTTTAGGGAGAGTGCTTATAATTCTTCAACCATGTACCTTTAGTTGTTCGTATTTATGTCATACACATAATAACCAGTCACATACTGTGGAATACTATTCAGCCGTAACAAAGATGGAGACTTTAGAACTTCTGTGTTGGTCTGCAGAGAGGTGGGGAACATTCTCTTTAGTAAAGTATCACAATAATGGAAAAGCAAGCATCCTGTGTACTCAATACTGATATGAAGCCCGTACACAAACTAATATATGCCCACACGAGACAAAAACTCATTTAACCAGAGGATTACTGTGCGCTCACCTAATGGGCGTGATGTGGGGGGCTATGGCACACCTGGGCGCAGGACCCCACTACAACAAGGACCTCAGCTAGCAAATGCCAACATTAGAATCTGATCATTTGTACCCTCCTGTTAATCTTGGGGGGGAAAGAATTGTGGCAGGAAGAGAGGAGAGAAGGAAGGAAGGAAAGAGGGAGGGAAGGAGTTTTATTGTGTGCTAAGGAATTTCTGGAGACCCTAATGGACATCTCCATCCCCCATCCTCATCTCCATCTGTCCTTCCTGGACATGGTCTCTGGTCCTGACGTTTTTTGCCCCGGAGACCTGGTGGAGAGTAAAACCCTTAAAGTACATCCCCGGATAATAAGTTACCACTTTGTTTATTCTTTCTTCCTGATAATCTCGTAGCCACCAACAGAGAAGGGACAATGTGTTGGTGTGAAATATTCATAGAAGTGGCAAACAGTAAGGGTGACAGTGTCTTATTTCACTGTGTTTCTAATTGCCGTTCATTCAGCAGTGACTAGACGGTAACTCCCCAGTCGCGACAAAGCAGAGGGAGACGGGATTCGTGAATGCGGAAGACGGGCAGTCTACCTGACCTCTTTCCCAAAACTATTCGGAGCCATTTTTTAGATATGGAACCACATTTTCCATAAAAACCATTAGCTTTGCCTCTAATGAAACTCCTGCCAGCTCCCTCAGAGAGAATGTCGTTGGCATAGTTTGGTAAAGAACCTGCCTCCTCTGCTTGATTATTTTCTGGTTGAATTACCAAATGGAAACTGATTTGGGAGTACAGCACGTGTAAGCTGAAGAGAAAGGGGAGCCCTGCAAACGCCTAGGCCTGTGTTCAAGTAAGGACAGCCAAGGAAAGGGGCAGCAATCTGCAGAGTGGGTCTAGGCCCCTTCTCCAACCCAGGTTCTTCTTGACAAATACAACCTCCGCCTCTGTTTGCCTGTTGGTTCCGAGCAGCTGTGTCCAGTCAGTTGACACTTTGTGTCACCTGAGAATCAATTGCCGCTTGACAATTCATGATCATGTTCTCATCTCACTGCTGTTGTGAGGATAAAAGGGCCAAGAAGCACAATAGTCCAAGATTGTAGGAGACATTTGCTACCTCATTTCCCAAGAATTATTTTATTATCAAATATCCTATTACTGGTTTCAAGGACCGAAGGAGTTTGAGATAAGCCTGAACAGCACAAGACCCCATCTCCACAAAAAAATAATCCAGATGTGGTAGCAGATGCCTACAGTCTTAGCTACTTGGGAGGCTAAGGTAGGAGGACGGATCTAAGAATTTTGAACATGAGCATGTCAGAGCAAGGTGCTGTGAGAAAGCGTTCAAATGATAATCATCTCGGGGAGAAATATTTGTGAGGGCCTAACAAAAAAGTTATTTATAGTTTTAACATTAATCTTACTTATTTTGATAATCTCACAAAATCAGAAACTCTAAGGCATGGATAAGAATGATTTATTTGGCACTTTCATGTTGCTGCTAATTTCTACCGCTGGTTTATAATTTATATAGAGTTTTCTGTATTTGGGGATGGCAGGGGAGACAGTGGTTTTGCCTCACCCGTGTGCACTGTTGGTTGTTCAGGTTGGGTGCGGGGCGTCCCTAGCAACCTGTCAGACCTTCAAACCCACCAGGGTCTGCTTGAGGTCCAGGCTGCTCTGCCAGAGAGACTGTGACAGGCCCTGCAGGAGGCCCATTCAGTCTGTCGCCTGGGGCAGGACGGACACTCTGCCCAATTTGTCATGCGGGGGAATCCTGTCAGCAGTTGAAAGCCTTAAGCACAAAACCTTGAACATTTTCCTGATGTTTTTATACAACGCTTAAATGCAGACATTTTTCTGATATTTTTTAGAGCCATTGCCAAGGGCGAAAATATTAATACATAGAACCCAAGTTAGCAGTTTTTCGCTTCAAGATATATGATGTCAAAATTACCTGCTGTGTGATCCATAGAAGGGCTGTGTGCTTGTGTTTTTGCAGACCAAGCAATGCAATTCAGGTTCCCCTCTTCTTCTTTTTTTTTTTTTTATTCACTCATTTGTACATAGATCATTTATGCCATTTTGGGGTTCGATGTGTGGATTATTTTTCTTGATAAGGACGTGAAACTGTGGCTGATGAACGAGCTCTCTCCCAGTCTCCCGGGTTCCTTTCCTTTCCTTTGCTTTGTTGGCCTGTGAAAGGTGCCCTGAAAGGCATATTGAAAAGGATTTGTTGTTGGAATAATAAGAAAAAAAAATTGGCCCACTTCTTAATTATCCATAGTAATGATTTAAGAATAGCACGCATCCTTGAAATCCCAGATTGCTATTATCAGGCTTTTTATCTGACTGATAAATACCCAAATTAAGATTCTGTCCTGTTCACCCATGATGCTCATTATTGGTTGAATGGCTATTTTGTGCGATTCCTTTACCCGGATTATTTTTTAATATCTACAAAATCCTGTAAAATTGCCATTACCCCTGTTTTCTAAATGGGAAAATTGAGCCTGTGGGTGGCTAAGTGACTTGCTCAAGGACGCAAAGCTGGTAGGAGATGGGATTTAAACCAGATCTGCCTCCAAAGTCCAACTCATTTTTTTGTTACTTCTAAAAGCCATGCTGAGGTCGGTGAAAATGGTCCCCAAATATGTCTTGACACAGGAGAGTAAGAGACAAGAAAGGCCCTGAGTAACTCAGAAGTGGAATAATCAGATGTCGAGTATCCCATTCAGAGTAAGAGTCAGAGTCAGAGATGAAGCTCTGCCATCTGTGCAGCGAAATGCAGACTTCGGAGAGAAATGGAAAGGAAGAAAATGAGGGAGAAATAGCACGTGACAGGTCAAAGACAAGTAGACCAGGGCATCTGAAACTTCCATGCAAATGATAAAACAGAAATGGGCAGCTTGGCGCCCATGCTCAGTAGGCAGGGTATGGGCGACATACACAAGGGCTGAGGGGCAAACCCGGCCTGGGCCTATTAAACAACAACAAAAAACAGCTGGTGTCGTGGTGGGCACCTGTAGTCCCAGCTACTTGGGAAGCAGAGGCAAGAGAATCGCTTAAGCCCAAGAGTTCAAGGTTGCTGTGAGCTGTGACACCACAGCACTCTACTGAGGGCAATGTAGTGAGACTCTGTCTCAAAAAAACAAAGAAAAGAAATGGATAAGGAAGACAAAAATCTGTAAGAATGTATCAGTAGACAAGAAAAACTTTTGTCTAAAGGTAGATGTTTTTTCCCCCAAAGAGTAAATAAATCTACATTGCCTTGATTATTGGTTTTACTTTTTATTTTGATAATATGAGTGATAAATATTACGTACATTAGACCTCCTCTGGGTAAGACTGAGCACTGCCCATGGCATTCCCACTGACATGGGTTGGGAGAGGTTCAAGTGACTAAATGCCCCTGTGGCCTCGGAACTGAGAGCTTCGCCATCACGGAATTCAGACACCCACTGGTGCAAGCATCATTGTCAATGTCACGCCCACAAACCTGGGAGGTTTGACAAGTGAATATCAAGCTTGTCACCTGAAGGTGTTGGAAAACAAACTGAAGACTTATCTTTGCTCCTAATTCAAAATGGGTATATTTATGGTACTTTGCAAAAGGGACAACGGCAGTTACACACACTTGACACGCTCTCCCGAGAAACTGTAATAGAACAGAAATTTTGATGAATGGGAATAGCTTCTGATCCATATGTTAATGTGTATCAATTAGTAATTATAACTTTTTCTTTAGCAACAGATAACCCACTTTGTGGTTTCCTTCGCTATATATATCACGTCTAAAAAATGTAAAATCAGTATACACGTGAACGTAATTACCAAAATTATTTTATCAATTAGGTGTCATTAAAAAATTGGTGGCTAACCGAAACTCCGTTGACATAACTTTATACCATTACCTTTGAGACATCATGGGAAAAGTATTTTACTTAAATGGCAATAAAACTTCTCTTATTCCACAACCTTAACAGATAAAACATTGGTTAGAAAAAGAATGTTGGGGTCCGTTTTCTTTTTAATTATAATAAAATCAATTAACTCTATAATTACCTCTTTTATAATTTTGTTCTGTTTAATTAGACCCAGAAAGTACTTCAGTGAAGTCCCCTGCACCTTATGGGGACTCTTCTTTTTAGGGTAATTTAAGAGCAAAGATGGCTTTGAAGAGGGCAGAAGAAACGTAACTCTCCCCCTTTCTTTCTCTTTTCTCCAGCCACGTCCACGTCCACCACTGGGACGAGCCATCTTGTCAAGTGTGCCGAGAAGGAGAAGACTTTCTGTGTGAACGGAGGCGAGTGCTTCATGGTGAAAGACCTCTCCAACCCCTCGAGATACTTGTGCAAGTAAGACAAGAAATCTTGTGTGTGGCTTGTGTCTGTGATGGCTCCTTTCAAGTGGTTCCGTGTCCCATGATTCATCGTGGCTGGCTTCCCTGATTTCGTTGCATCCTGTGGAATAACGCTGTTTTATTTGTAGAGTGTTTTGAGACATTCACGCCACCTGTCACCATCTCCTCCGTTACATTCAGAATTGTTTTTTGCTCTTTTCAATGTGTGTGGGATTTTGTGTGTGTGTGTGTGTGTGTGTTTGGTTTGGGCCGTGATATTTATAATGTTGCTTTCCTGGTGGATTTCCTCATGGTTACTCAGAAGAGATGTGCAAAGATCATCAAGGCCTGTCACGTTTAATACCAACTTTATCCAGTGTGTGAATTAGGCTGTAAGATAATGTTCCTTTCTCACCCCAGAGACCACCTGCAAAAACTAAAAGAAGAGAAGGGAGAAGATGGTTTACTGGTGTTTGTTGCCTGTTGTACTTGGGGTTGTGTTATTGTTTCATAACTCTTTTTTATAATGGACTTTCGGTTGATACTTCTAGTAAAAAAATAGAAATGCATATTTGCATGTATTTGGAAATGCACTTAGTGTGTGCGGCACCATCGTGGGTAGAAGGCAGTGATCTTTCACGTACTGTTGTTGTCTGGAGATGTATCTAGAATAGCACTTTCTTTCCAATGACCTGAAGGAGTTGGTGCACCATTAAGAGGTATCAAATTTATTCTTTCTTGACAGGCAGTGTAAGACAGTAATACTATCAGTGCATTAAATATTTAAACCTTGTAGTAAACTTAATAGGGCATTAAGAAGCACATGTGTACGGGTGGTGCAGTGGAGCCTACTATTGATAGTCACTCCATATGTGGTATATGGACTCACAGTTTCATGTGGGTAAAAAAATGTTTCCTGTCTTATTGAAATGGTGAAAATTACGTACTTATTTTGCTTCCACCAAGACACATGGTCATGTCCCCAAAGCAAGGTATTTTAAAGGCAATTCCTTTGAAAACACAGTGTAGAACATCTAACGGGTTTTGCAGGCTGTCCACAACTGGAAACATGCAACAGAGTACATTGTGCTGAACTAGCAGCTCACGTCATGAAAATTGTCTTGTCTGGAGTATGAGCATGTGACTGAACTCTTGACAAGGAGCCTCAAGTCTGTTAGGCAGTCGAGCTCATACGAAGAGCAATTCGCAAAATGAAAAAGGCACGAGAAATGGTTCACAAGGCCATTTCTCTCTCACATCATATAAACAAGTAAACATATTTATTCTGAGAAAACCTTAATTATGCCTGTAAGTGCAAAGACATGTTTTAAAAACATAACCCCAAACAAAAATGCCATTGTGTGGGAAATGTTCCGTTGCTCCCTGAGCTACGGTAGATTGGGCTTCTTTGTAACGTGCCTCACAGACCCCCGTGGCTGTGAGTAAGAACCTTCCAGAACTGCTCCCTTCTTATCCGGTTAAGCTCTTCTTTTAAAAGTGTGGAGGCAGTGCCAAGAAAAGACAAATTTTGGTGGTCGTGTAGCTGATTTTATCAAGAAAGACAATTTATAAAAGTAAATATCATCTGTTAGAGGGAATACAAGACTTGGCGCAGAAGAGTAGAATTCTAATCCCCACAACTAAACACCTTTCATGTAGATAGGCGACAATTATAAGCCAAAGTAAAGTTGTAGGTAAAAATCTTATAAAATATTTAAAGCAAGATGAAGATGAAAGACTATGTCGGGGAAAAGAAACCATCTCTTTCAGATATGTATTATTTCATAGGACTGTGTTTGTTTGTTTAAAAATTAATCTTAGACATTCACTTTTGGGTCATTAAAATATTCAAATGTATATGCCTGAAGCAGAATAAAAATCTGTGGATTTTAGTGACACCCCCATATTTATCATAGCAAATCGAGACGTACCAACTTTATGGTACGTCTCAAAATAGAAAATACCAGCAGCTGAGAATTATAATCTCTAATGTCTGAGGTCCATTTATTATAAGAGGAAATCTTGTTATTCTTTCTTAATCTTAGGCATACAGCGCTTTAATACATCTCCTTGAAAAAAAAATTTCAATTATAATTTCTTAAAAACGTACCCCTTTTAAAATAACTGTACCCATATTATCTGTGTCTCCTATTTTTACTTCTTCAGAAAAGCATCTGAGACCAGTATATGTTAATTATAATAATGAAATGTGATCACTTTCCTCATAGTCTTGGCAGAGATTTACAAGCCGAGGGAGCACATGTGATCATTTCTGCGGACCTGGAAGGAACCAGGGCAGTTACTTTCCGCATATTAATTTCACCCATTCTGCAGCCCTTCCGTGTCCTGTACAAAACATGGGGATTGCATAAGTGCTGTTCACTTGTTCCATTTTGGTCATCCGCCAACAACTGTAATTTTTCCTCGCTCCACAGTTTTTTATTAAATCTTAAGCTCAATCCAGAAAAACATACTCACTCCTTCTTTTTAATTTCAAAGTGAAATGTTTGTTAGTCTTATGATAATTATGGAAGCAGCAAACCGTGAATGAACACTCTACATCCCTCAAGATAATTATCTACTGGATCCTGCCTGCCTGCAATTTCTCAGAAAATTGAATTTTTTTTTTTCCCAACTGGAATCTCTTAAGAAAGTGTTATAAGTTATTACTGGATCCTACTGGAAAGAAAATCTTTAACATCTAGGATGTTGATAACCTCCACCCCCCCGCCCCCGACACCACACACAAACACTCTTGGACTACAACTTTATTAATGTACCAAACCAAATCAGAACCTCGCAGGAAGAATTGGAGTATATTTAATATCCAGAATACTTCAGGCCTTTTTTGTTAAATAAAAAAGTGTGTTTAAAAAAAAAAAA